AAGCACTCGGTACGGCCAAGCGTATTCAAATGAAATTACCTGTAAATCCAGTTCAGGATGTAAAGTGCACGATACATTCCGAGCGCGAATAGGTAGTGGGCAGTGATCGTCTCAGCTGATCCGAGGGCTTGCAGCATAAATAACTGAGGCATGATTGCTACGGCTTCCAGGTATATACTGTAAAGTGAGATAAAGTCGAAAAAATGATGATACTTACAAAGCAGACCTGAATGTCCACAAAATCTCCATCGTTGAAAACTCGTGATTGATGAGGAACGATAGAAGAACGCAGGGTATCAGCAATAGTTCAACGCGAAAACTATCCGACTCTTTCTCATATGTAGGACGGAATTTGAAGAGCATGAGATACAAAGTTCCATAGGAAGAAATTATAAAGAACACCTATATGACAAACATTTTCTGGGAACGAATCACGAAAGGAGACTGAGACCTTCATGACAGTGTTGTAGTAGGAGATGAATGTTGTGAAAAGATCCAGATATCTGGCAGTGAACACGATAGCAAACAAAATTTGGGAACGAGCAGATATCCCGGAAACCGAGCGGGTCTTCCACATCGAAAAGAAAAAGACATAGAGTTGATTAAGTTCAAAAGAGCTTTATCAAAACCATACCTTTGCCAAGAGAATGAAAATCGCAATGAGATGCGACATATCCGCAGTAAGCCGAAAGATGTTCATTATTCCCTTTTGTTTGACAGTGGATGACCTAAATGACAACCATGAATAAGAAACCACTTTAAGCACTGACCGTCCACGAATCAAAAGTTATATAATGGGCTTCAGTCACATATCTGCGGTTAGGAGGTGAACATTATTGACAGGCTACTAGATCAAACTCGTGAGTATAACGCTCTGATACACTTCTGAAGGAAGACAACTCCACAAACTGGGCAGATTCGATAGAACTTTTCTAAGAGTTTCGGAGTTTTCAAAATAGGTCTCATATGCGAAAAAGATGATTCTCTCACAATAAATGGACAAAAACCATTTTGCGTTAGTAGCCTTTCTATCAACCCCACTCAGCGTTTTTCTTCTCTTATCACCAAGTCCCTTATTTAATTTGAAAAGCTACTGATTTTTTCAAAACAGAATGTCTTATCAGTGAGTAGCATATCAAAGCTAAACCCAAGATACGCAAACATTGGATGGGCAAAACCGATGAAATGCAAGGTTGACTGCTATACCGCTGTAAAAGATCAATCACGACTTGATCAAGACATTACAATGTGAGTGAAGGTCCACGATAAGCTCGATTTGTATGCAGATGCAGAAGAAAAATGCTATGACAGCATGTCGTTGTGCAGATCCAACAAGATTTTCATGTGAAGAAATTAAATTAAAAAACTTAAAGAATGGTACGAATTAGTATAAAACTGGCCAACACAGGATTTTACAGTAGTGTCGTTTAATGCAGGAAAACCACTGCGGGACCGCGCTTTTGGATAGTCAAAGTTGCGTCAATGACGTAGGGTCGGGGAATGGAGGGCATCGTGTCTTTGTAATTCTGTGCTCAGTAGGTTATGCACATGACATAATATGTCCGCACTTTTTTGATCATAAGAGGAAATGGGAGGTTTTGCGGGAATTGACATTCATAGGTTGGGAGCACAACGGCATGTGCTGCACACCACCAAAACGATTCGCAGAGACAGTTGGAAGGAGTAGCATCGTGGAGGAGCGCGTATTGCAGAGCGAAGCAAAGGTGACCTGGCAGTGTCGTCTAGTTGTAATGCATCATATTACAGTGGCGGCAGTATCTGTCGGTTTCACTGCGTTTCATTGATCGAAGATGTGTTTAGCTCGAGACCGTCACGAGATGGTGAATTTTAATCTGGACTCCGAAGTCTTCGCTCCCCCCC